CTTTTAACTCAAACCACGAACAAAACCTACCAGCAAAGAAAATGACTCATTCAGTTCCATCCCAAACAGAAATTCCCATAAATACACTGTTGCCAGATTTACCAATATTTAGTGAGATAACAGAACAGAGAAAAGCAACAACAACAAAAACAAGACAAAAGGCAACTATAAATATAAATAGTAGACCACGGAAGAAAATTAGAAACAGCAGGAGGAGTTTGGTTGCACCAAGAAAACTAAAAACAAAAACAAATACAAATAAGGATGAAACAACCATAGCATCAGACGAAGAAGTTGAAAATGAAATTCCAACAGAACTGAAGACTTCCGAAATCATGTCTGAAAATCTGAATGTGATTGTAGTTGGCGGTGACGTATCAATGGAAGCGGACAGCGAAAATAATGATAATGAGGTAATTTCAGGTACAGAAGTAGGCACCAACGTATCCCTGAAAATAGAATTGGAGAGCGCTCTAGCATTAGAGCAAAGTCAAGGAACAGAGAGTATTGAACCAGACATTGTGAAAAAGAAAATATTCATTGTAGGAGATGGGTATGCCCAAAACTTTGATAAAGTGTTGAAAACGGTTTTGGACAAATCAAAATTTATAATTAATGAGTTTGTTAAGCCCAAAGAGGAGTTGCATGAGATAACAGCAGAGTTATTTTCACAAACGATTAGCTATGGTAAAGACGACTTTGTAATTATCATGTTTTCAACCAATAGTATAAGTAATCGCGCAACTCTTAAGCTAGCTCTTAAGAACATTATACATTTGAGCAGATACACGAACCTTATAATTGTTTCAGAACAATACCAATGTGAAGATAGGTTCGTTAATAATATGATTAGTGTAGGTATAAATAGGTACATCAAACAAAATCGTAATACTTCTATTCAATTTTTAATTGACCCTAAAGTAAAATCTAGTAAATGGTGTATAAAAAACAATATTATAAATATTTTATTTGCTCCAAAATCACATCTTATTGTAATGAAAACTGTACCAATAGTTGAACTCAATTCAAGATTTACTGAAATGATTGATGATACAGACCAAATTTCAAATTCTTCTTTTTTATCCATAACCCTGGGAAACTCCCCAATGGACTAGCTGATACCAGTGACAACACCATATCATTCATATTGCTGAATATCCAATCTGTCAGAAATAAAATCGATGACCTTTCAATATTTATGGAATCGCAAGCTATGCCAACATTTATTTTACTGACAGAGCATTGGCTACTCAGCAATGAACCTTGTTATATACCACACTATGAAGTGGTCGCAAAAAGCTGCAGAAATCAATACAAAAATGGTGGAACCATGATTCTTATGAATGGAAAAATGACTGACTGTCTTATGCCTATTGCAATAGATATATATGACTCTCTAATTGTTGAAAAAGAGTTTGAATTTTCTCTTGTACATGAAATTAAGAATAATATTTTTATCATCTGCCTCTACAGAGCACCTGCTTCTGATGTTAATGTTTTCTTAGTAAGACTGGAAAATCTTTTATCTAAATTACCAATTAATGCTCATATTCTACTAGCTGGCGATTTGAACGTGAACTTCACTGAAAGTTCCTCAGATACGCATAATTTAAGGAACTTGTTGTCCTCTTTTAACTTAATAATGCATGTTGAACATCCTACACGAATCACTAAACAATCCGCTACAACAATCGATTATGTGTGCACAAACTTAGATGAGCGGAGTGTTAGCTGTTGTACTATTCCTGCAGGCCTCTCGGATCATGAAGCAGTACTTCTCAAATCCAATTTCAATTTGAAACATCATAAGAGAAATTATCGATATGGTAGAATATATAGTGCAAAAAATTATAAAAAAATACATGATAAATGTCAGTTGACACCATGGGACTTTGTTACAGAGTCTGAGGAACCCATCAATGTGTTCCATAACTATTTAACAACTTTATTTGAGGAATGTTTTCCATTAAGAAAGTTAAAAATAAAAAATAAAAAATCCTGGATAACAAAAGGAATAAAAATATCTGCCCGGAACTTGAGGTCCCTACATATCATAACTAAGCATATACATAGCGAGTCTCTATCATCATACTTCAGTTCCTACAAGCGTATTTATAGAAAAGTGATCAAAAATGCAAAAGAGATATACTACAAAAAAAGAATAAATAGTTCTCGAAACAAAACAAGAGAAAACTGGATGATAATAAATGAACTGAGAGGTAAAACCTCATTACCGCGAAATATTGATATCGATCCTGACATATTGAACAACTACTACTGCTCAATAGGTCATAAACTTACATCTAGCTTGAATCCACAGATTGATCCTTTAGACTATCTAATGCATGTCAGCATTGTAGATAACTTTCACATTGAAGACACTAACATAATTGAGCTTAAAGATGTTCTCGAAGAAATAACTAATAAAAGTTCATCAGGCATAGATGGATTATCAGTCAAAATATTTCAGAATCTACCCGACTATGTTCTTCTCATTTTGGTGAATGCGATTAATATATCTTTCAGAACGGGAAAGTTCCCATCCTGCCTAAAACAAGCAGTTGTTATACCTCTCCATAAGGGCTGTGACCTGAACGAACCCGCAAATTATCGGCCAATTTCACTTTTGTCGACATTATCAAAAATTATAGAAAAATTAGTCAAAAGGAGAATGATGAAACATCTTATGAATAATAATATAATAAACCATTGTCAATTTGGATTTCAAAGCGGTAAAAACACAAATGATGCAATATTTTCTTTACTGGAAAATGCATATCTAACTCTGAATGATGGAGAAGCAGCTGCAGCAGTATTCTGCGATTTCTCAAAGGCTTTCGATTGTGTTAACCATGAATTACTGCTGCAAAAGCTAGAGCTTTATGGATATAGGAATTCCTCATTGAACTGGTTTCGCACATACCTATCAGAAAGGAGTCAGGTAGTTAAAATCAAAGATGACCAATCTCGCAGGGGCAAAGTTTCAATGGGCGTACCTCAGGGGTCAGTATTGGGTCCAATCCTGTTTCTATTGTATGTAAATGACCTAGCCACTATTCGTATTGAGGGAAAGTTCACCTTTTTCGCAGATGATACTACCATTCTATGGCACGGAAAGGACATAAATCATTTGAAAGAAGTAATTGCTCTTGATCTCACTAAAATAAAGCAATGGTGTGATTCCAATTCACTATGCTTTAACTTAAGCAAAACAAATCTAATCTCCTTTAAGTTCAACTTTCATAATTTACTCTTAGAAGACCATATAATTACGAATAAACCAAATATTAAGTTTTTAGGTATGCATATAGACAACAAATTGAAATTTGATGAACATATCACGAGCTTAAATAAGAAGATATCCTCTAGTTGCTTCGCAGTTAAAGTTGTTTCAAAGGAACTAAATTCAGCTTCAGCTAGGTTAGTATATTTCTCCTTAATTGAGTCCCACTTGATGTACGGCATTGCATTCTGGGGATTGTGCAGTGATCATTTGTTCGACTCAGTGTTTGTATTACAAAAAAGAGCAATTCGCTACCTGAGCAAAGCCCAGTACCGTGATCACTGTAAACCATTATTCATCAATCAAAGGATTTTGACTCTATCTTGTTTATTCATACTGGAAACTGTATGCCTGATGCACAAGAAATATGTCACTTCAACATTACCTATAACTGAAACCAGAAAATATGAGACAAGAAACAAAGGTTGTATTCCTTTACCTATACCCAAATCTAGTCTAACTAGAAACTCTGTCATGTACGAAAGCAAAAAAATGTATAACCATCTACCAATAGCTTACAGAAATATACCTTGCCCAAAGAAGTTAAAAAAAAAAGTGAAAGATATACTTTTACAGAGGGCTTACTATAACCTGCAGGAGTATTACAATGACATACTCTAGTTTCTATTGTAATTTCCATTTCTATAATTGTGTTATATTTTAATATATTTTAATCTGTTATGATTTTTAACAATGTGATATCATGCGAAAAATGTGATTCTGATTTTAATTGTATTATCTATATGAGATAGTTGCAAGTTGACGACTCTCCAAAATTTCATTTTGGTGATATATATATTGTTTCTTTTTAACATGTCTCTTATTTTATTTTAATTGTATTCGTTTGCATCTGTTATGTTCTATATTATACTATATTATATAATTTACTGAAACATGCTTTGTCAATAAGATTGAAATCTTCGACAATAAAGTATATTTTTGATTGATTGATTGATTGTTTATAATGATCCTTTCATACATAAATAATGATTGACGACATAATTCGATCGTAAAATTTACTGGAATGTTCAATTTTTGGACATAAATAATAGTACCATCTGAAAACGGACCCTCTTATGACGTAGAAACCTCATCTCACCATAGTTAAAAGAAAATACCAAACGCCGGACGGAGACTGAGGCAACTGATATATTAATTCTTTCAACTGTGATCTCGCGCTAATTCACTCTGCCAGAAATCATGTATCATTCATCTTTGTCTGGAATAGTTCTGTTTCAGTATTAGGGTTTTGACGTCACATCATCGCTTCGTTTTCAGAGGTCCGAAAAATCGGGGGTTTCAATAATTTTTTATAAAACGTAGGGAGCTCCCAGCGATAAACGGTGCGGTGGTGAGCTAGTTTGGGTGAGTTCTATCGAATTATGGAATACAATTTTTTTGTGATATAAGCCCATTGAACTATTTTTCTTACAACCATGGGATGAGATCAAAACTGGTTGAGTGGGAGAAGTACATATGAGAAAATTTTTAGTTGGATTAAAAATAAGTTATTAACCTTGTTCCGCAATATGGACTTCTTCACACGATTAAAGATAATATTATCGAACATTTACTTTCCACTGTGCACCTGTAGAATTTATCGTACGTCGTTCTAGAACACCTTGTTCGAATGCTCATCGGATCTCTGCTCGTTGCAGATCGACCGTTCCCGTGATGTCCGAATCGACCGTCCGCTCACTCGATCACCGTGCAGACAATGGACTTGAGCGCCTGCGCGCGCTGGTTCTGCAGCAGACGCGCGGCGGGCGGCAGCGGGAAGGGGGCGGCCGACTGCCCGGTGGGCGGCGACTGCCCGGCGGCGGGCGCCGGCCCAGGGCCAAGTGCCGGCGGCTCCGGCGCTTGTGATGACGTCGTGCCGCCTCCCAAGAACTGTTTCAGGTTAGTTGTGTTAGGTAAGTGAAGGGCGATTGGTGCTTGCTGGGATGGGTGTTTTCTCCTTATCAAATGAAATTCTCAAATAACATGATCGGTTTTATTGTTAGCTACAGGAGGTTGTTACAGCCTATTTCGCAATGCCTTTTCAAAACTATTATACTTCAATAATATCCTTAAAACAATTGAACAACCTTATCAAAACATAAAGGGCCCACGTTTATAAAAGCTGTCACAGCTTCTCTTGAAGCTTGTCATAAAACTAATAGGAATTTATTTCAGTATGCCTAAGAGCAATAATGAAACCTATCAAAACTACTTCCTTTAAAGCCTTTTAGCACGAGTTCAAACCTATATTATGCTTTAAAACGACAGTTCTCATGCCAACATTAAAACTTATTGGCTAGAATTAAAACGTTATCAGTTGCAGTAAGCATTTATTGAGATAATATAGTTCGTAACGTGTTATATGATAGTCTTTTTCCAGAACTAATTATAATAGAAACATGTCAAAATGGAGTGAAAACAATAGACAGTTATAAAAGAGATTAAACATGGCGGTATAATATGATAATTCCGTACTGTATCAAATAGTCCTCGACTTTTTTGACGAAAACATACCAGATATGCGAAATAATGTGTTTTTACCAGTTAGAATTGGATGTGAATTCTAATAACTTTTCAAAAGAGTTGACAAAACTGTTTGAATGTTTGCTGAATATGTGTGAGTCGTTTGAAAAATGTGGAAAAACAACATTTTCGACAGCAGTTTCAATGCATCTCTTATATTTTTCGCTTAATATTTTTATTTCCATCAATGGCCGACATCTGTTCGTAGTGAATGTGGTGCAAAATATACTTAAAACCAATTTTCTTTCACTAATGCTTCATTAAAACCTTTAGGTAATGATAAGGCATTTTGTTGGAGTACTTATTGCATATTCAAATCCATTCTTATGACTATTTGCTCCTATTTTTTTTTTTTTTTTTTTTTTTTTTTTGAATTGACTTGACTTGGCCGTTACTTGATGGAAATCCATGATAAATGTTAAAACTTCACAAACGATAAGATTTCCACAAAATTTATTAAACATACGACATGTTTCGCTAACACAGTAGCTTCGTCAGGTGATATACTGGTACAATGAACTAAACTAACGTTGGCTTGCCTAACTTTTATATATCTCACCTTCCCAAACTGAAGGATTAGTTACCTGTGGACAGGTACGATAAACCTTCATTTTCGGAAATTAGGCACAATATCTACATTAAATTACGGTATACCGGATTAACTTGAAAGAGTTGATATCAAATACATATTATTACTTACTAAGAAAACAAATTCAACAGTGGTGAACTATTAAGGTCTAATTGATCATTAAGTGAAATGTCAAAATTTTTGAGTTTGTTGATTTCTAATGATTCAAAATGGTTGAGTTTCAGTCCTTTATTTTCTATGTGCAGAATTTCAAAATTATCATCAAAACTATGGTTTTCTTCTAATATATGGTTGGCGTATGTTGAATTTGTTTTCTTTTTCATAAAATTCATCTTATGTTCATGAATGCGCTGATTAAACGTACGACCTGTCTGACCGATATATACCTTAGGACAAGATCCACATATGAGTTTGCAGAGATTCACGGCTTGACTTGATATTCAAGCTACTTGACTTGACTTGACTTGAAATCAAGTCAAGTTCAAGTCAAGCGAAAGTTTTTTAATGTCAAGTCAAGTCAAGTAATTATTTATCAAGTACTTGAAAAATCAAGTAGTTCTATGCAAGCTACTTGATTTTCAGCAGTTTTATTGTGTATCTATACAGCGTGACTCACGGTCGATGTTATAGGTTAGACGTTTATGGAGAACGCGACGCGGGATTTTTCTGAAAATTTCGCATATACAAAATATTCCTGAAGTTGAAAAATCTCGATTTTTCGCACTCTATATCTCCATAATCTTTTCCGCTATACCCCGAGTGTGATGTATCGATGAAATCAACTCTTCAAGGAGAATCTGAAAATGCAATAAAATACAGGGTGTTTAATTCGAAATAACAAAGTGGTTCCTACTTTTCTATAGAAGCGGCAACGTCGTGATTCTGAAAATATATTAGATCGATAGTACCGGTGAAGAAATGTGAAATGCGAAATTTTCTGAAAAATCCTGCGTTGCGTTCCTATCATAAACGTGACCGTTTAACCTACCATCGACCGTGAGTCACCCTGTATATAACTGATGAAATGAAAATGGCATCGTAAGACTGACTGCGCGATCGAATCAGTCAGCTCGGATCTCGGGGAACCCCCGTATTTTGTCTATGCGTGAGCGAGCTTGCAGAAATATACGCCGTGCGACTCGTGCGTATCAAGATCAAGTATTATCAAGTAGCTTGATTTCAAGTCAAGTAATAAATATCTCAAATTCAAGTCAAGTCAAGTACGTAAATTGCCACGAGCTTGATTATCAAGTCAAGTCAAGTAGTTTGTTGAAATATCAAGCTACTTGACTTGATGAATCTCTGTGAGTTTGTATACCCCTGATTTTTCGAATTTAGAAGTTTTGTCTTTATTATTCTTGATAAACCATCCCAACGTGTTATTTGTTCTATATGCCACTTTTAAGTCCTGTTTATGTAGAAATGAAGCTAATTTCTCAGTTGATGATCCGAAATAGGTTAAAGTTCTATAATTTTGATTATTATTCTTGATGGTAGGATAAACTTCTTGAATAGCTTTATGATGAAGTTTTTTAGAAAGAATACTGTCTATCAAATTAACGTTGTATCCGTTGTTGACTGCAATCTGTTTTATGATATTGAGTTCTTTATTGAAATTTACTTCCGAAAGAGGGACATTCACTAGCCTGTGTATCATACTATTATATGCTGCAATTTGTGGAAATCGTTTGTGAAGTTTTTACATTTATTTGCTCCTAGGTATGACAACAAAGCTTCGTAAATGATAAGATTGATTCAAGAAGGTTATGAGATAATGCCTTCATAAAACTATAAAGCTTCAATAATATCCTGGATAGTGCTCATTGGCAGTGTTGCAAAAAGTAGAAGAACGTCATCAACATGAATAACATAACCCTACTTTTGTTATTTACAGTGTTCACTTTGTGAATTTAATGATTGGTTTCAAGTAGGAAACCGACTGGGAAACATAAAGATAGACAAACAACACTCAGTGCAGTTTGCCTGATATTGTGTTGAATGCTCCATTCTCTCAAATTCATGCTGATCTGGCCATCTGACATAATTTGTGCAAAACTGTTGTCAACTTCCTCGCTTCCTAGTTCCCATCCAGAAGCACGATGATCAGAAGTATTTTCCATTACGTTCTGACTCGTTGATGGTACTTCATGAACATCAGGGCCTAATGAATTCTTGCTATTTGGTAGTTTCAGGTGGGATGAATTGAAAGACGCAGTGTTTGGAATTGCTTGGGCTTGAGGATTCTGATTTACTGTTGCTCTCACGACTTGATTTTTGATTCTTAAGTAATTTTTTCAATTTTTTCGCTCGAAGTTGCCATTTCTCTGAATTCACATTATTCATTTTCTTGTGAATTCATTTCAACGTGAGTCGTTTGTAGGCAAAAAAATACGAACATTTATATTACCGGTTTTTTGTTAAACACGTTTCTAAATAAAACTTCATAAATCCTATTGATTTTATGATTTACTTCGATGAATTCATTGTGGCTTATAGGTTTTAATAACTACTTTCACATAGCTAGAACAATGCCATTAGGGTTCATTATTGCCTCAGTCAAATCCTTATTGATCTAGCGTGAATTTGGTTTTATGATTGCTTAATGACGTATTTTCATGTGATTAGTTCGAAACCTCTTGGTCAAATTCGAGATACTAATGAAACTTAAGTGTTTTAAGAGGGTTGTTAAGAGTAAATGGTTTTGATAAAGAATTTCAATGACTCTCACAGAGCTCTCTTAAAACTGAAGTCAGCTGAATGCCGAATTGTTTTATGCGATAGTTCTATCATAGTAGGTATCTCTAAGCCTTTTAGTAGGATTATATGGACATGAAGGCCAATATGCTTTTTCCAGGGCATTCATAAAACTTCTCTCTGTTGCGAACTTTGCATTTCAAAATATCATGTTGATATTATCATGATCCAAGTTCATCCGAATGAAGGTGTAATGAATCATATTTGAGGGTAGTTCAGATAGGGTAGATCTTATCAATAGGTGCCACTACCATCTCACGATATAGGGATAAAACTACTCTATGTAATGACTAGATAGGATGTTCTTAAACCGTCATGTCATAGAGGTGTTTTCCTCCTACGATTTAAAATGGTTTGCTCGGCTTAATGGATTGTGAGTATCATAATATTCATAAACAGGGTGGCCCTTTGAATACGAAACGGACGCTCTGTAGGTCGCCAAAACCGGATTATAGAAAAAATCGGAAACACATCGTCTACATTCTCGTGGGGACGTCATTTTAAAATATTTTTAGCCCCACGGCGTTGCCGTTTCTTACGAAAAGAAGCAACAACTCTCAAAAATGGAACACCTTGTATTTTATTTCATTTTCAAATTCTCCCTGAGGAGTTGATTTCATCATTGCATCACACTTAGGGTCTAGCTGGAATGATTTCTGGTATATAAGTATTCAAAATCGAGATTTTTTAAAATGTTTTTGTGTCTAAACTAAAATTTTCCATACAATGGCGACTAATAAGCTAGGGTATCAAAACTGCGAAAGATCACCTATATAATATTATTGTTGAAATGTAAGTTGGTTTCTGAATTTTCGTATAGTTTTGATATCCTGGATTATGAAGTAAGTCGCTATTGGATGATCAATTTGTAAACAGGTGACAAGAATAATTATTATAGAATATTCTGCACTCGCTTTTTCATAGCTATACCTACTAATTAGGTCCACAGATTTTATAGTCGATGAATACTTCGAGAAATAATGTTGAATATTGGTAAATAATGGATATTGGTGAAATTAAAACTATAGTGTGTGACGAAACACTGTCAACAACATGGTTTATATGAAAATTCATGATATTAAAGATATATATTGCTACACATTTACAAGGCGGATCAATGAGAAATATAGTAAAAAATTCTAAATTATCTAAATTCGAGGCTAATACTCAAAATAGCGTATAAGTGTTATATATTTTTGCAAAGGACAATACATGAATAATTGAAAAACGTAAGAACATACAGGGTGTTCCATTTAAAAAATATAACTGGGTTATATCGAAATAATAACAGCTTATTGAAAAGGAATATTCTCAGGTATATTTATGAACACAAACAAATGGATATATTAAGAAATACACTGAGAATTCGCATTCTCCATGATGATGAAAATATCAATTCTTAATAATGTTTATTCTACATAAAACAACTTCTTTCCTGGCTAAATGCCACGACGAACATTGAATTACATCGATTGAATACACACGATAAGAATATGAAATCAAAATCTTCTGAAGTAGAGAATTTGCATTCTTCCTCATATAAAGATATGCATATATAATATCATTCTGAATATTCAACAGGAAACAACTACTTTCCTATCTATTTGCCACGTCGAACATTGAATTATATCTGTTGAATATCCAAAAAAAGAGAGCATGAAAAAACAAAATCCTCTGCAATGGGCGTGTACACCTTGGTAGAACTTTTAACTCAAACCATGTTTATAATGATTCTTTTATACATAAATAATGATTGACGACATAATTCGATCGAAAAATTTACTGGAATGTTCAATTTTTGGACATAAATAATAGTACCATCTGAAAACGGACCCTCTTATGACGTAGAAACCTCATCTCGCCATAGTTGAAAGAAAATACCAAACGCCGAACGGAGACTGAGGCAACTGATATATTAATTCTGTCAACTGTGATCTCGCGCTGATTCACTCTGCCAGAAATCATGTATCATTCATCTCTGTCTGGAATAGTCCTGTTTCAGTATTGGGGTTTTGACGTCACATCATCGCCTCGTTTTCAAAGGTCCGAAAAATCGGGGATTTCAATAATTTTTCATAAAACGTAGGGAGCTCACAGCGATAAACGGTTTGCGGTGGTGAGCTAGTTTGGGTGAGTTCTATCGAATTATGGAATGAAATGTTTCTGTGATATAAGCCCATTGAGACTTGACATTATCTGTAGAATCGAATTAAATAATGATGTATTATGATATGAAAATATATTTTACCAATATGTTCAGTATTGAAATGAACATTGAGATGTATAGGAGAAATATACTTGTATGAACTCTGATCTTGATGAGCTTGGAACTTCCAAAAAATCAATCGTATCAGTGATATGGGAATTATATCTCTCACAAACAGGTTATATCAATCCATTTCGAATATCATATCCTCATCAGTAACCTGAAGTCCAGTTATTCTTTCAGCCATTCTTCATGATATACAAAATTTTCATCTCCCTATAATATAACTAAAACTATAACGAACTGAAATCTGATAATCGTAATCTGTTGACATAACCACTGTTATTGGGCATTTGTTTTTTGGATGTATGATAAATTGATATTCATCATGAGAATTTCTTTCCACGTCCTGTATGATGAATATCAATTTATCATACATCCAAAGAAACCAGCAAACTGTATAAGTGACAGTCTTTTTTCCCTACAAGTTGAATAAGTTGAAAGATAACTGAGATACAGGAGGGGGGTCCGAAATGCAACATTTTCAATTTTACCCCGTATCTCAAAAACGAAGCGAGCTATGAACAGTTTGTTTGCAGTATCATATCGGGATATCCCATGAGGACATCGAAAATGGGACAGCCTGTACCTGTACAAAGGGCGGTTGCTCGCTTTAGATTAACTGTATTCAAAAATGTTGTCTAAACCACTGACCCGAAATCGAATGAGGAAATCCCAATCTCACAGTACATGCTACCAGATTCAGCGGAGCATACTGTTCCCCTTTATATCACTGAAATAATCCGACAGGTGTCGATTGTTGGAGGCATTTAATATCCTATGGATTGTTCGATATCTATTGAATCCATGTGGAATCACATGTTCATCAGACCAGCTCCCAGGCATGAGTCGATCATTATTCGGTACTGATGGATGATCTGTTATCGCAAATTAACAGCCAGGAGCAACATGAAATTTGCTGTGGTTTAACAATCACGGGTCTTTGTGTACTGATTTCCATGAAATGTTTCATAATCGCTGGCCTGGATATTGCAAATTGATGAATCATAGGAAACGAGAGTTATTTTGACATCGATGGAAAAAATGCATCAGTTTTTATTGCTGTAAAAATGCCTGTTCCTCAGAACTACACATCATCTAGTACATACACCTCTTCCAAGTGTAATTATTCAGAAAGCGTGAAGTGTAATTCGGACAATATCATATGTAATTCAGATTAGTTAATTCAAATTCAGAAAATATCAAATGTTATTCAGATTAGTCCATGGAAATTCAAGAAGAGTCAATAGTGATTCAGATTAATCAATTGAAATTTAGAAAGCTCCAATTGGAATTCAGAAAGCCGCAATTGCAATTTAGAAAGTGTCATTTGTATTTCAGAATTTATCATTTGTAATTCAGAACGGGTCAATTGAAATTTAGACGACGTCATTTGTAATTCAGATTGGTTAATTGAAATCCAGAAAGCCTCAGTTGAAATTCAGATTATTCAATTGGAATTCAGAAGATATCAATCTTAATTCAGATTTGCCAATTGATATTCAGAAATAGTCCATTGAAATTCAAGAAGCTTCATTTGTAATTCAGAAATATGGAACAGTGTTACCTTTGCTTGTTGAGTCAAGCATAATGGATGCAGATAATATATTGCAGACCATGCAATATATTTTTCGGAAATTACGATTTCTAATATAACTTCTTAATTTACTATTGATATTGATTTCAATTGACCATCAATGATAATAATTCCATAATTCTGAAGTCGCTGGCTCTACATGGAAACCTTCATTAATCCATCAGTCTGAATTACAATTGACACATTCTCAATTACAATTCATGATATCTGAATTTCAATTGATGCTTTCTGATTTTCATTTGACTAATCTGAATTACATTTGAAGTTTTCTGAATTTCACCTGTCCGAATTACAATTAATAATTTCTGAGTTTCATGTTACTTTTCTGAATTACAAAATAACGTAGTCTGAATAACAATATTTTTCGAATTCTGAATTACAAATGACGATATCTGAATTTCAATTGACGCTTACAACTGGAGTTTTCTGGTTTTCACTTGCCTAATCTGGATTGCAATTGATAGTTTCTGATTTTCGATTAGCAAATCTGAATTACAATTGACACTTACTGAATTTCATTCGAGAAAGCTGAACTACAGTTTACGATTTCTGAATTACAATCGAAAAAGGTGTAGTATCATAAAGTGAGATTCTTCAGCATATTGGCACAGTTCGCCCTGAGCTACAGGATCAGATAATCCGTGATTTAAAACATGTATTCTCGTTCTTGAGAATTGGGATGATCTGTCAACATATACCTGGTGTCACAGTATATCTATTCCTTCGATCATCTATACAGGGCTATTGACGTTATTCGACACGAAGCATTGTGGCTGAAGCATTTGATTTTTCGAAAAAAAATTTTTCTGATAAATAAAGACCTTTTTGAAATATTGTCATGTTGTTCAGGATGTGCCAAAAACACGAAATGTATTAGAGTTGCTATTCTTCCCTGGAATGCATTGTATATTATTGCATTTTCAGATTCTCCCTTGAGAGCTGATTTCATCTATGCATCATTCACACTTGGGGTCTAGCAGGAATGATTACAGAGATATAGGGTGTTCAAAATCGAGATTATTCAGCAATCCGATTTTTTTGTACTCATCATCGGTTAAAACGGCTTTTTTGTCCCTACCTCAACTCTTCATTAACTATCTACTGACATTCAATTGGAACAAATACAGGGTGGTTCAAGATTCAGAATTATGATCATCCTGTATCTGTTCCAAATAAATGTCAAAAGTTGAGATGGGGATATGAGAGCCGTTTTGACCAATAATAAATAATTTCGACACAAAAAAATCCTAAAGTTGAAAAATCTCGTTGATGCAATCAACTCTTCAGAAAGAATCTGAAAATGCAATTATATACCGGGTATTTCATTTAAAAAAAAACAACTTAGGTACATTTTCCTTGTCTTGTTCCTATAGCTGGCACTGGGGCGGTATATGCCATTAGAGCACTTGGTCCATACACAAATATGTCACTCTGTGGTCGTATTTATATTGAAACTACAATTCGAATATCCTTGGGAATTGAATGAACCTGCTGTTAATGCAGGCAGGATGATAGCATGTTACATTCGGATCAAAAATGACTTTTTTTGACTCGCAAATTTTGCTTTCGCTCGGCTGCGCTAAACGCTCCGCCTCGCGAATGCAAAATCCGCTTGTCAAACAATGTGTCACTTTTGATCCTAATAAAACAATCTACTATTTCAAACTCCTGTTTGCTTGGTTTATTTCGAAATCTTTAATGGTGTAGATGTAATCGAGCGTTCCTACATCAATGTTAACAAGAATATTGCGATAGAAAACATCAAAAGCACATTCAGAACATCAAGGTAATAGGAAAGATAGTGTTCATAAATCTGTAGAAAATATCTATTCCATTTCAAAGTCGACTTTTCTTCATTGTTCATTCGTCTGATTTTCTTTTTGGTTTTCACAGGGTCAGCGAGGGTGGGAAAAACGTGCCTAGTTGCCAGGTTTCTTGGAGGTAAATTCCAGGAATGCTACACTCCCACTATCGAGGATTTCCACAGAAAATTATATAGAATCAGGGGGGAAATTTATCAACTGGATATCCTGGATACGTCTGGAAACCATCCGTTTCCAGCGATGCGAAGACTCTCATTTTTAACAGGTCAGTATATGTGAAACTGAACATGGAACCACAAAAATTCACGAACATTATTGTTATCAACTCACTGACTTAACCTGACAATTATTTCATGATACATGTTTTACACACTCTACACTCTGTATATTGAGAACTATGTATTCTTGGTCCAGGAAGGCGTATAGTTTTCAATAATACAAAGTATGTCAAACATGTATTTAATAATATTTGAAAAAATTTACACTCGATTCTTATTTCATGTCTATATGGACATGGATCACACATTCATTCTAACCCCTGTTTTTGAAGAAATGTTTTGCACAAATTAATACAAAAAATTGGTATTAATTTTTTTCCACGGAAACGAAGCATATTATCAAAAGAATTCAGGATACCAAAATGTTGTATTTTTGGATAATAAATAGGATATAGTGTTGAAGAATTCAAAAAAATCAGTAGCGCACATTTTATTGACAAAGAAAGAACTCACGGCGCAGGCAGGTCGATGCTGTCAATGAAGATCTTGCTGAAATCACAGCCTGGGGAACCAACAACCTAGCTGAATTCAACGCCACCAAAACTCAAGCCTGCATTTTCTCTAGAAAGGCGGAACTCAGTATGCCCGATATTGGAATGTCTGGCTCCACCATATCTATGCTCGGTATTTCCATCAGCAACACTCTTTCATGGGATAATCATGTCAGATCCATCGCAAAAGCTGCTTCACAAAAACTCGGATTCTTGTTCCGTGCGAAAAGCTACTTTACACCTCAACAGCTTCTCATGATCTAGCACATTCTTTCGTTGTCAACCTCGAAAGATGTCGAACAGCAGTTTATCAAGACTCCTTCATCCATAGAACGGCTAGGCTCTGGAATTCATTGCCTGTGGAAGTATTTCCAACAACATAATATATTCTCCAAAAGTTCAAAAAAAATTCCAATACCTACCTCCTGTCCTTATCCTCCCTAGGAAGGCACGATGTTCTTTAAACATTATTGGGATTCCCTTTCGTGCGCTCAAAGCGATAAAAAAAATCGGTAAGATGCCCCTGGGAAGCAACTGAATTTCACAATTCCAAATCAATCATGGCTAAATCAGCCGATCATGACAACGAATATCATTGCCAAATTTCAAGAATATTTGAGATATTCATAAAAAAATACGGTTTGAAAAAAAACACACTGTATCTTGAAAACTTTGTATCTCCGGGCCAACGTATGTATAAAATAAATTCCATGTTTTCTCATGCAGAATCAGCCCGTTGATTTTTTGCGCATTATTTCATTACCACCGATACAACAAGGCCTGCATGCTCCGTGGGTGACGTCACTTATTGAGGCCTAACCAGCGGCTCGAAACGACAAGCGTTTATAGCGCTATAAGGCGACCGCGTATTTCGATTTCAGTTTTAGATCATCATTGAGCCGATTTTGCTGTTTTTTGAAGGGCTTCCGGTTAAAAAAGGATGCCAGTCGTCAACTGAGCCCTTCTTCGCATCCCATTCGATTTTATTATGGAAAAACGAAGTTTTGAAGCAAAAACCAGGATAAAACACAAATATCCACCTACAGCAACCCATTCGAATTAAATATATTGGCAAAAATTGTGGTGAAGGTAAACTTCACACCTACTTATACAGGACCCGCAGAACATAAACTTATCGTGAGATTGATAGAAAGAAAATTGTGGAAAATGTATTTTATTTTGATTGACATGCCGTTCGTTACAATTACCTATATTCATCTTGGAGAATTCCTATTACCTGAAAAAATAACCAGTGAGTGTTTTCAATTTTCTATTGTTGGATTTTTCACCCAAGTGGATCGTTACACTTGAAACCGTAATTTTCAAGGGTAAAACTGCATTTATCATGCGATGGTTTTTTTTTGAAAATTTTTTTCGGTACTCACGTATTTTTGTCTGATAAACCGAATTTTATAATGAAAATGTGAACAAACCACTATTTATTGAGATATTTCCAGAAAAAGTTCGAAATTTTGCCTTCTTTCTTTCCTTGTGTTGGGGGCATTTGAAGCTAATTGCTCTTATTTTGTCATTGGACACTTTATATAATCATGATATACTTCGATGGCACATTTTTATATAGAAAATTCAACAGGAAATATTATTTTTATGGCGAGTTTTTCATATTTAGTGAACAAGCATTCCATATGACGACCATTTAATCAATAGTCAATCAGAATACGAGATGTCAAATGTCAATAGATTGCTTCCGAATGACATTACACACGCCATTATTTTGAATGATATTCTCTTTCTTCTTTTCACTAAATATGGATTAATCTCAAGAAAATCATATTTATAGTTGAATTATATACAAATTGTCCAATATGATGAAAAAAGAAGGGAAATTTGTTCTAAATGCCATCCAGAAGACAGGTGAAAAAGAAGGTGAAATTTGGAACTTTTTAGTCAAATATCTTCATGATAAATATCATGATAAATGCAGTTTTACCTTTTTAAGTAGAGTGTTTGTAGTTCATGTTAATATGATAGTTGCAATTTGATCATTGGAATGAATTCTGCATTCATTGCCACGAGGCAAATGACCGTTTTCAGAAAGAAATTTGAGAATGAGAATTAAAAATGCCCTTTTATTATGAACATTCAAGAAAATTTCCTCGAATTCAGAGATGATTTTGTTGACTATAATATACGAATACAAAACTAACTGCACAATCAAAGCTTTTCTATTTTTCCTCTACTTATACTTTTTATGAGAGAGTAATTGTCTTCTATTATTAATACATCATCATAAATTAAGCTCTGTTCACTACTGAACTTAGATGGAGTAAAATCCTCGCGGTGAATTGCATACACCCACATTTTTGATAGCTCCTCGTCCAACGGGAAACTAAAAGCATGAACTTTTGAACCACCCACATAATTCCCCCGACAAAAGGGAACACAACACTTGAAAGGCATTGTTATTTCGCCGATCACAACACAAAATGTTTCACAAAACAGTAATTTTTCCGTCAATTATTTTGATGAATAAACAACAAAAGAATTCGGGACCGTTTCAAAAACATACGTGAATCACCGATGAATTAACACGGACTGACGCGTTAGTCGACAAGCGATAAAATAAAACACTGGCCTCTCTTGGTGACGTCACGAGCTGTTTACGTCAGAGTCTGCTGGCCTTGTTGTATCGGTGATAACGAATATTTCCGGACACCCTGTATATGTACGGCACATATACCTACCCAAGTAATTTGATCTGTTGATCATATTAAATGTCGTGTAGGTGGTTTCGAGTATTATTTAGTAGTTACTTTAGAACGCAGTTACACAATATATAAAACTCAAGATGACAGATTTGTTTCCAAATTGATTTTCGTTCGAATGCTGTCAATAGTTCATAAAATTTTGTATCGGGATTGTGTTGTATGGATGATATGTGAATACACTGCGACCTAAGAGATCTATTGTGCCCCCTACATTTGCTTATCTCGACGAGTATTTATGCGTAGCTATAATAATCACTCTAATTCTATTTTCCTCAGAAATTTCGGGATGGTAGCTTTTCCTAATAATCCTAATCTATTTTGTGTGCTCCTTGGTATCTAATCCCTAGGTTCTGTATAGGGTGTCAAATTTCGTGAGTATACAGGGTGATCCACGGTGGATGGCCTATTAGAAGTATCTGGAGAACGAAAAGACAGAACATTCTGAAAATTGGGTTTCTTCGATGATTGAACATTCTCTATCCGTCTAAAATATTTTCATCGATACAGTATTGCATTTTTAGATTCTTTTCAAAGAGCTGATTTCATCAATGTAACACACTTGGGGTCTAGCAGGAATGATTACAGAGATATAGGGTGTTCAAAATCGAGATTTTTCAATTTTAAGATTTTTTTTTGTCGAAACAATTCATTATCGATCAAAACGGCTTACATGTCCCTATCTCAACTTTTGATTGACTATCTACTGGAATTTGATTGGAAAAAATACAGGGTGCTCCAAGATTCAGAATTCTGATCACCCTGTATCTGTTTCAATTAAATGTCAGTAGATAGTGAACCGAAGGTTAAGATAGGGACATGTAAGCCGTTTTGATCGATAATAAATAGTTTCGACACAAAAAAATCCTAAAATTGAAAAATCTCGATTTTGAACACCCTATATCTCTGTAATCATTTCCGATAGACCACAAGTGTGATCTATCAATGAAATCAGCTTTTCAGGGAGAATCTAAAAATGCAATAAAATACAGGGTGTTCTATTTAAAATAACGAAGTTACTGGTTGTTTCTGATAGAAGTGGCACATATCGATGGAAATATTTTAGACGGATATAGAATGTTCAATTATCAAAGCATCCCAATTTTCAGAATGTTCTGTCTTTTCGTTCTCCAGATACTTCTAATAGGCCATCCACCGTGGATCAACCTGTATATGAATTTGTAGATAGAGGATTCTTCCTCCTCTACATAAAACCTGCATAAATAATCTTATCCTTCTAAGTCGAGCATCCTAAATTTTTCTTTCAGCCGGCAATGCCTTGTAAAAACTTCAGTTAGTATAGTAGGACAAATACTTCAATTAAATATAAAAAGACGACGCCATCCTTTTGATATTTTTTGCCGACGTTCCGAAGTCATCCGCACTCACCCGCAAGTATTTGGAACCAGTGTCGGCCTGAATTAGTTTACTCAGAAACAACAGAAAATAATTATGATTTAAGTAACCTGAAATAAGTATATTACCTGAATAAGTGTAGGTATGGATTGTTTCCTTGCCTACTTGTGAGCTACCAAGTGATTTATGAAGTCAAATAAATACAACTCAAAATGTGCATAGTATCATGTTTTTATAAGACAGAATTATTATATCGTTATATACAACAAGAACGGAAAGATGCCAAATTTTATTCATGATCTATTTTTCTGAAGACCGTTACATTGTGGAATTTAGGAGGGAAAATCTCGGAAGTTGCGCTGCCAATTCAAACTCGTACAAATTCAATTCAAAATAAAAATTTTAAAACTTCAT